TCCAGATCACAAAAGGTCTGTCATTTTGTTTGCCAGTAATCCCTCCCGCCCTCTCTCTCTCTCTCTCTCTCTCTCTCTCTCTCTCTCTCTCTCTCTCTCCCTGCCTCCCCCTCTATCTCTCTCTCCACCTCAGTGGTTTCCTGGAAAACGAAACTACAACTTTGAAAAACATGGGGATCAAAACATTATTGAAATTGTTTGGATGGAAACTTCTTACAAGCTAAAGCAGGTGACACCCTAATGTTTCTGTAGACAGAAACCAGAGATCTAGTGGACGAACTGTTCTATTGATGTGTGCATTTCTTCCAGATCACATTAGTCTGTACTTGTGTGTGCTAGTTATTCCCCTCTCTCTCTCTCTCTCTCTCTCTCTCTCTCTCTCTCTCTCTCCTCCAAAGTGATTTCCGGGAAAGTGAAACTGCAACTTTCAGAAAGCTGTTGACAATTGGGTTCAAAACATTGAGTTTTGAAAGAAAATAGTTTAGATGGAGAGCAGGTGACAGTCTAATCTTAAATTTGGTACAAATTCTTAATGGAGACGTGCCACCTTTCTACTGATATGTCCCTTTAATAATTGATAATCATGGTTCAAGGGTCATCCTTTTCAGCATTACACAATACAGAGCTGCACAGTGAAACGCAGTTGTCCCCCCTCCACATCGCACACTACGAAATTGTGCAAATGAGACAAAGAAATGAAATGTAGAATAAAATTGGGAAAAATAGGTACAAAAAGAAACAGAATAAGGTAGAATAAAACAATTGAAAAAAATACAACTCAAGCTATACTATATTTACAAAGTATACACACTTACAATAAGAGTAATTTAACTGGTACGTTACAGTGCAAAGAAACACAGTGTAGTGGGAGTGAGGTAGTAGTGCAAACTATAAATAATAAACAGAACGACACAAATTGACAAATTTAATGTCGGTATTCTTAATCAAAAAGCTTTGACAAAAGATGACATTAAAACAAATGCAGCACCTTTGGCTGCCTTTTGTGTTCAACAACATTTCCTTTTCTGTGTCTAATCAACACAATGTGCTGTCAACGGTTTTCATTGGAACTACTTTCTACTGAGGAAATGGTCTCTATAAAAAGAGTTGAGTGTGAGGCTGATTATGCCACTATGAGCGATGGGGAATGGAAGACAGGAAGTGACTTATCTGCATGCGATGCCTGTGTTCTCGTAGAGACAATTGTTCCAGATGTTCGTTCAACAAGGCGATGGCTCTGTTTCTGTTCTTTATATCTTTAAAGAATGTTAAATGTGAGTGTGGTTACTAGGATCAACTGTGATCAGTATGTTTACTTTGCTTGAAGGAACCTATGATTCACCATAAAAGAATTTTGGCAGCTTTAATCATTTTCCACTCTGCAGAGAGTTCAATGATGTTCAGAAAACCTTTTGTCCTTTCACACAAAACAAACCTGGTAAAGGATTAATCATACTTGTAATGCTGTAGCTATATGTGTTGTTCTATGGCATCATAATATGTATTATCCATGCATTATAATGCATTGGTTCTTATGCCCCTAAAGAACAGTTTGACACTTTGGAAATGACTTATTCACTCTCTTGGTGAGCGTCAGATGAGCAGGTCCATAAATGCATCAGTAAACATGCCTCTATTTTCACTTCTGATCAGTTGAAAAATGCATTTTTTTTCCCATCTGTTAGATAAATTCATGAATTATATGCAGAATGTGAATTAATTGTAGTTAATGTTTCAAAAATTGGAACCAAAAAGTATTAAAAAAAAGTTTTGTCATTTTTCTAAATATCAACTGGAGCTTTGAGTTGACGGCTGACAACTGCAGTGTCATGTTAACGGAAGTTGCTAACTGTATGTTTTTCAGCTTACATCATCCCACGAGACATTTTCATTTGAAATAAAACCCACGGTGGTTCTGTGTCTTGTGAATTCACTGGAGCTGGAAGCTTTCGTGGGAATGCTTGTTTTCTTCACCGGGATTTCCACGTAATACAAACTTGGTACAACATCAAACGACACCTTTTGAAGCTCTTGTCACATTGTTATATTTTATTCTTTCTTTACAAACAGCACAATTACAATAGTGTTCTCCACACGGAATGATATTCAGGATTAGAGCGCATAGCATCAACATTAAAAGATTGGTCATAAAAGCTTCATTTACGGTTTGAAGCAGGCTGTGACTGATTAGTATGCATGTACATTATTTAAATGACGGAATGCAATACAGTTTTGCCAAAAGAAAAGTCAAATATGAATTTCATGTATCAAAGAAGGCAATCGATGGAATGACCTCGCTAGTTTTCTTAAATGATCATGGCTTGACATGACTCAACTGTCTGCTTTAGGTTTCATCCACCTCCTGGCGGCTAACGAAATCCCTGCACCGGTGAGGAGTATAGCCGATCTCATGGCTAAAGTTGCTGCTGCTGCTGCTTCTTCTGCCACTATAGCAGCACCAGCTAGAGGGCCAGCTGTCACTACTGCTGCCAAAGCCAACTGAGTACCCACAGTGTTCATATAGCCTGCGCATCTGCTCCACCGTTCCTTCAAACTCTTCTTTCTCTGGGCCTCTTCGTACATGCCTCTGGTGTAATGGTCACCATTTAAGCGCACTATCTCGTCTATCTTTTCAAACAGATCAGCCACCTGAGTGCGATTTCCCATGCAAGTGTTGTCAAACACAGTGTACCTTCCTGTATAGCTCCTGATTAACTCCCTGAGTTCAGGATCTTGGTCTAAATGATCTTCAATGGACTCCTCCTTGAGCATGTCTCCCCTAGTGAAGAGCACCAGAGTGTAATTGGAGACTTCCTCACCAAAGTTGTCTTTGATCCACTTGATGGCATTCTTCTCCTCTTCAGTAAAGCGTACATCCAGTCTGATCACTAGCAGGAATATATGGGGTCCTGGGTCAGACAGCGTGATACAGTTCTCTATTTCTCTTTTCCACTGGTCTTCTTTAAGCGCCGTGTCAAAGACTCCCGGGGTGTCGACCACACTCACAGTTCTTTCATCATAGTGGCCGCTTTCTTTCTCACATGTCTTTGTCACAGAAGAAGGAGAAATCTCTGAGGTGAAAGCTGTTCTTCCCAGGATGGTGTTCCCTGTTGCACTCTTTCCTGATCCAGTCTTCCCCAGCAGGACAATCCTCAGGTCCCTGACAACTGGAGAGCTGCAGTCTGTGGACAGAAAGACAGAAAGACACTTCATCTGAACTTCTGAGAGCTTTTAGGTCAGCTTACATAAGGAGTGCAAAAAGCCTGCATACAGTATATTCCTACACACAAGTAAAGACACTCACCTTCCATTGAGGTTAAACCCATCTTGTTGTAGATAAAGAAATACCAGGAAAACACAAGTCAAACCTGACTTTGAACCACTACCACTGTGCGTTTCTGAACCTTTCCTTCCAGATCACAAAAGGTCTGTCATTTTGTTTGCCAGTAATCCCTCCC